CTCGTCTGCAAATTCGCGAAGAGCAACTTAAACCCATTGCACAACGCCATCATATCCGGATACGGGTTGCGCTGCAACTCATACCCCTGCGGAATAACCTTGACTGTCCAGCTGTTCAGCTGCGCTTTCTCTCCCGCTTTGAAGCACAGGTGGAAACAGCCCGGGTGCTTTGGATCAATACAGAAAGCATACACAGATCGGCGTGGGTTGGCTTTCGTGTATGTGTCCAGCCAGCGCTCTGGTTGTTGGGGGATTGCGGAGTCAGTATGAAAATGTATTTATTGGAGGGATTTACGGGGCAGGGACAGGGTTATGGCAAAGGGGAGGGAAGGAAGGAAAAGAAAGAGAGGGAGAGAAACGTACCGGTATCGCTTTTACTCCCATCCTGAAACTTCTCATGCATCATCATATCATCCACCTTCTTCGCCATAGCCTTGATATGATTGACAATAAGTTCATCAAGATCACTATACGAATACCGCCCGCCCACCTTCAAAATTTTTCCCACCGAAAATTCATTCTCCTTATCCAGCTCCAGGATATCAAGGTGCTGATAGATACCTTCAGAAACCTTCCAAGTAACCGCGAGATGATCAATGCCGTTCGACGACGGTCGAATAACGGCATCCCCCCGACTCTGCGGCGCAAGAAACTCTTCTGCCTGCGCCGCGTTAAACGGGCGGAAAAGCGGATGCTTAATAACACGCATCGTCCTACCGCTCGTCTCCGCCTTCTCACGTGACGCTTCGCGATCAGCGTCTTCTTGTCGGTCATCCCATTCTCCACGTAACCGATCAAAGTGGCGTCGATACGGCTTGCTAATCTCACTTTCTCGCAGGGAGACGTTAGCCTGGAAGAGTTTGCGGTTGAGGTAGAGAATTTTGCCCTGGACAGTTTGGTGGGGTGCAAATAGACTGCGGATAGGGATGTCGTAGCGATCTGTGATTTCCACTTCGCCGGCGACTGCGTCGATGCCGCAGTCTAATTTGCCGTCGATGTGGTCATCGGTAACGCGCTTGATGGATATGGGAACGATCATCCCTTCGGCTAGGGATTCGTGGGTCTCGCCAGTGAGCATGGTGAAGATAGCGTCTGTGCTAAGGAAGACGAATTGTTTACGCAGCTCCTCGTATGGTTGTTGTAATTCCGCACGGATGGTCTCGAGGGTAGCTCGTTTTCGCTGGTTGAGGTTCTTCTCGAGCTGTTCGGCATACTCCTCGAGAATGAGGTCATTGACTCTGTCCTGCGCATCTTCCTTGATGAGTTTACGAACAATAGCTCCCTGCCCATTCTCATCTGTTTCAGCCTTGATATCTTCCTCGTCAAGCTCAAGGGCATCAGCAGCCATTTTCCGACCAATGTCATAATCTTCGGGGTGGACACGAGTATTGTCGAGGTAGTCAGCGTCGGGGTCCGTGCTATCGTAATCAATATAGAGGAAACTAGCGCAGTTATTCCAAACTTTAACCCCCATAGCTGGATAATGTGCATTGACTCCTAGAAGCTCGATCCGATTGTTAACAATGCCCCCGTTCATGTTGATAATCTTGAGAAGATGGGCAGCTTTCCGGGGGCCAAGTCCGCAGACGTAAGGGAGTAGATTTGCAGTGGCAGTATCGGTTGCAGCCTCATTGATATCAACACCACAGAGATTGACCATATCCACCAGTGCCGTTTCGAGCTGTTTCAAGATCTTGTCCTGAGGAACCAGTTGCTGACCGGGCTTGAACTGAATCGATACAATGTCTCTGCCCAGTGATGCATACTCCTTCATCGGGTTCTGCAGGTACTTGGCCAGTGCGACACAGTAGTGAGTCAGAGCCGCGAAACTAGGATGTTCCATCTTAGCCCGTTCACTAGTCTGGTAGAGCCGCGCAACTTCATCGTTCACAATAATCACTTCCAGGAGATCATTAGCCTCCTCATCGTAATCGTTGGTATAGGTAGCGCCACGCAGGTCCTTGGAAGAGACAAGATCCGACAGCTGCTTGTAAAGCTTTCTAGTTTCCGGCGAAAACCCAGAGACACCAATGACATCAGGTTTGCGTCTCTCAACGAGTTCAACAAAGGCAGCCACGTCTTTCCCATCAGCGATCATGCGACCCGAATCTCCTGGGGCGAGATCAGTAAATTTCCCATTTTCAAGCACTCTGCCATCTTCTTCAACCCACGCCCAGTAAATGGGATCCTTCCCGACAATACCGTTTCCATTAGACAATGCAAGGACTCTGGGAATAGTGCCAAGAATCATACCCTTCGGCTTATAGGGAGCCTGGTCGAGCCGCAACGAGAACGCCTCTCTGCATTCCTTGGCAACATGATTCTCACATTCCGTTCTGATATTCTCCTTTACACCGCGGCTCATGATCCTCTCTAATTTTCCAAGGGCCATATCAACGACTTCTTTCCGCTCTCTATTCCACGCATCAGCCAGTTCACTGAAATTGTCAGAGACAATGTGCGAATATAGATTTTTCTTGAAATTGTCAAAGTTCTGGAACCGGACTTTAACATCCACCAACCCTTCTTCCTCCGCCTTGAGCATTCGGAGGAAAAGCTCAGGTCGTCTCGCAATGTCTGTAAGCTGTTGATTTCGTAGATATTTGAATTCGTAGTAAGGATGTTGTTCGTCAACCCTTTTCAACCCCTTTTCAGTCCTGAAACATTCAATAATGCCGTTCATGTAGAAAGCCTGTCTCATGACCTTGCGCATCTTGGGACTCATGGTAATCTCTTCAGCAAACATTGCTTTGGCAGCCTTCAAGGCATGGCCACCGTTCGTGAAGATGTCGTCAAGAAGATTATCCGCCGTCACGTCGGGTGGCTCTACGGGGTCTTCAGTATATTGTCGTTTCCCTTCCTTGAGAGCATTTTGTGCGAAAGCATCAGCTGTGATACCAAAAGCACGAACTAGCTCGTATGCACGGCTATTTCTGACACGTTCAGAGAAAGATCTCGTAGTAGCTTTCCGTCGCTGTTTAGAAGTCCCATTCTCACCACTTCCATTAACAATGGCGATATCCTTTAGCTGAGTGGGATACTGGAAATAGAGGTATTCCTGCACGTCCTGCAGCTCCTCCATGGTTACAGCCAGGGGCAACATCGATTCAAAGATGTCATCATGGACGTTGCAGATGGTTTGCAGGTTATCATAGGTCTTCTGCAGGGTGTTTCGTTTGTCGATAAGCGAGCGGAACTTCAAATCGTATTCGAAGATGTCCCACAAGTCCGTCATGTTCAAGAGCTTCTCAGCCTTGACGACATATTCTGGACCATCTGGATTAGAAGGATCGGGGGAGACGGGGACCTTTGCAGCATGGATGAGGTAGTCCTTGCGATGCTGGAATATAAACGGAACTTCCCAGTCATCTGTTATCATGAACTCGAGGACTTTGGCGATAGATCGCTGAAACGGTTCGCGTAGGTCCGGATCTAGGCGTTTTTTTAATAACATAAGGTTTGATATCCAAATGGCCTCCTCTTTAAACTGCTCCTCAGTCAATATGACGTGCTTATGTTGTTTTCTCGCGACTTGGCATCGTTCGGGCTCATCGGTGAAGCAAATGACATTGTCTTCCTCCGTCAACATCTTTTCCGCTAGCTGAGATGGTTCGAAGACGTCCTTCAAGTCCAGATGCTTTTCCTTATCTTCATCCCTCTTTTCATTTTGTTCTTCGGTGTCAAGGGCAAACATGTAGTCATTTCCATCACCAAAGGCCATGCGCATGTCCTCTAGCGCTGTTTCGTCCAGGCCTGTGGCATCCGTCACACCTAGTCCCGACAATCCCTTTCTCATGGGGCGGGCGATTTCCTCATCCTCCTTTAACTGGTCAAGATCTTCATCAGAAAACACATCCTCCTCGATGAAGTTCTCCATATCATCTTCCATTCCTCTCCGCTCGTGGCGTCCAATCCGGCTATAACGATCGACCTCATCCTCCTCTTCATCGGAGTTGAACATGTCGTCGATGCCGTGAGACACATGGCGATCTCTGTCCGCCTTGTGGCCGCGCTTTAGTCTCTTGAACTTGGACTGCTAGATGAAAATAAAAAAGACAAAAAATGATTTAGCTCTAGCACGTTGTGTTATGACAACTTTTTTTTTATAGTAAACAGAGTCAGACTCTCGGCCATACCTCAGTGGGGAGAGCGCGCTGTAGCTCAGGGTTATTTTCTCCGATCAGGTAGATATCTTCTTCGTCCAGCGCCTCGTCTTCACGCTCGCGTTCCTCCTGACGACGTCTTTTCCGTTCACGACGACGTTCTTCCCGTTCCTCTATTTCCTCATCTTCATCGACAATGAAGCCTTCACGGACCTGCACAGGTAAAAGGAGCAAAAGCTCTTCAGCTCACTGGTTCTGTAGGGTGGGACGAAAAGCGGAAAACGGAGGGAAGGCGGGGAGGGAGCATCAGCTTACTGCGCGTTCCGCTTCCTCGTCATCGTCATCCTCCTCCTCTTCGCTGGAATCTTCAAATTGCCCATTTTGCCGTTCGTGTTCCTTGGGGCCATCACCCTCTTCGCTGTCATAGGATCCATCGTCCTCCTCCTCGTCGAGCAGGGCTTCGTTTTCAAGAAGGTCTCGAGACGTCATATTAGACGGCTGTGTTGAGGAGCACTGAGTCTGCGATCAGACTAGCCAAATGCTGGCAGGTGGACGGCGGTTGCACAGGCCAGGGGATGGGAGAAGATAACTGCAGAGGAAGAATCTTTTGCCCAGTCTGAGTGAAGTTAAGAGGAGTTGGGTTGGGTTGAAGCTCTGTCAAGAACCTCTTGAATAGAATAAATAGTTGAAGAACCAGAAAAAGAAGGGAGGAATCGTGTGGCTGGAGATGTGGCTGAACTGGTCACGGGACGCTTACTAATTGCCCCCTAACCCAGATACGGAATAGCGTGATATCTGAGCTGTTTTGCAACCTGAAATTCAATTTTGTGTAAAATGTTTGTTCGGTAATGACTTGGAGATGTTTTTAAAACATCTTCCGTCTTTCATCCTGGCTTTTCCTCCCCTGAAATGGGCTATACCGCTGTCGGATATCATACCGGATCCCGTTGCTAACGTGGAAATGACAGGATAGAAGGATTCATGAATGTTGTATATATATGAACGTGAGGACGTCAGCTAATTAGTTAGATGAAGTTATCCATCAATCGGCCTTGAAGATAAACAATTATCTAGCCTTTGTCTATTTATTGTCTTTGTTGCCTTTGAGATAGATAGATTGTTCCTGGGCCTATTGCCAATCCTCCCTCATTTATATTCATTATTGATGGGGCATGCCGTTCTGTTAATCTATGCCAAAAAGACTCAAGCCCTTGATACCAAGGCGGGCTCAAGCACATGCATGCATACATACATACATACATACATGGATGAACGATTCATGTTGAAGCACCCAGATAGCCACCATTTCCACCACTCTGCTTGGGGTTATAATCCTTCTTCAGCGCGGTGGTAAATCGGACAATTCACCGTCTGCAGGAATGCATCCGCTCTCCGTGAAGGATATTTAACAGTCCAACCCATATACTTTTACTTTTCCTTCCTTCCTACTTACTCGAGTCCGTCATCCAGCATTGGACATCACGATGGTTATTTTTCCACGGCTGATTGCAGGAGATGAAAGAATCAAAAGAGAGAATGGAAGGATAACGACAAATAAACAAGTGAACGGCATGATTTCCAAGAAATTCCCTGTGGATGTTGCCCCCGCACCCATGAACAGCATCCCCAGCCACTGGCTGAGCAGATCGAGGACTAAGTAGAACTATTAGTTAATTGAACATTCGACAGGGCATCTCTGGGCGTGGATTGGCGGCGTATATACGGGCCATTCAGCTCTATTTTCTGTTAGACTGCCCGGACATCGGTTTGGCAGGGCCTCTGCATATGTGTCTTCTCGTGAAGGGCAACTAACTGGCATTTATTGGCTGACAGGTGGGTTCTTGGATACTTACTGTGCAACAAATGGGGTGCATTTTAGAGACACAGAGAGGAATGAATAAAGAGTTGAAGAAGTTAACTAAATAATGGAGAGTTACACATCTATCTGTTCCAATGATATATTTTCACTATTACCAGCTGCAACCCGTCGATCGAGTCTGCTAAATTAATACACTCTTCTGACAGCCCGGACGATATTTCAAACGCAGCAAGCGAACCACATTCCCCGCCCTGCCCCAAATCCCCCCCAAATGTTTCCCCTGAGTCCCTTATATCCACTCCACAAGAACTAGAAGCCCTTAGTCCGCAGTAGCCTGCCCGTGGAGCTGCCCATTCGAGGGTTTGAGAGATTCTGGAACAAGTTCGCTGCACATCATTTACAGACGTAACGAGCCAAAAAAGCGGCTGCTGTAGATAGTTACTTATTAGACGCCGAGAATCATCTAGAGAAACTAATCATCGACAAAATCAAAAACAGAGGGTATGCATGTTAAAATGTATAGTTACATGTAGGTGGCAAAGAACCGTTTGCCTGCAGAAGGCCTGAAGGAATTCTTCTCCCCCGGGATCTTCACCTGGGATTAGATAGGTATTGGTTGGCAGAGGTGATTATATGCATGCGAGAACCAAGGCCGCCCCCATACAATTGGTTATTCGTTGATTAGTGAACGAATAGTTACGGGGTCATCTTATCAAATAATTTGCTTCTTCTCCCTGTCGATGGCCTGAGGTTTGAGGTTAGTTCAAGTTAGTTGGTTTTTGTTAGCCCATCTGCGGCCCCTCCAAAACCCAACCAACAGCATCTTCAGTCTGGAATCTTCAACGACAAAAAAAAAAAAACCTCCATCTCCTCCAGCAAACTCCTTCATTTCCTCAATAACGCCCCTCCCACCGATGCTTCATTACGGCGGCGGTGCAGCTCCTATCGCCTAAATATCATTCACTCGACTCGACTCGGGGTGGCTGGGTCGCCATCACTCACTCTCGCTCGACTCCCCAATTCCTACCCGACCCCTCTCATTTATCTTTTCTTGCGGCCTGACAGACAGATAGGAACAGGCACTTCCTCGAGCCTACCCACTCATTTCTCATTCTGCCATCCGGAATTACGAAAGGAAAAGGGAACAGGAAAACCTCCGGGAAAAAGGAAAGGGAAAAAGGAAAGGGAAAAAAAAATAATTAACCAGGAAAGAGGAAAAAGAACCACAAAAGAATTGAACACCCCGCTGGGACACCCAAACGATGGGTGACTCCTTCAAGGCCAGAACGCTGAAACGAAAGAACGTCAAGGGGCTAGCTCTGAATGCCCCAGCACCAAAGACCGGGTCGAATACGTCGGACGGAGATGCTCAGCTACCTGGAGCTATTGGCAATGTAGAGGGCATCCGGACAGACACTCTCGAGATCGGGTTGGAGTTTAAGCTTGATCTGAGGAGTGAGGACTTGGTGGTTCTGAAGGAGCTGGGCGCTGGCAATGGAGGCACCGTCAGCAAGGTCATGCATGTGTCCACGAAGGTTGTTATGGCTAGAAAGGTATGTCTCTTTTTTTTTTTTTTTTTTGTTTTTGTTTTCTTTTTGCACCCGATCAGATCTAATTGCAGTCTCATTTCGTTTGTCGGTTAGGTTATCCGGGTAGACGCCAAAGAGAATGTGAGAAAGCAGATAGTTCGGGAGCTACAGGTCGGCCATGATTGCAATTCGCCATACATTGTGACGTTCTATGGTGCTTTTCAGAACGAGGCCAGGGACATTGTACTTTGCATGGAATATATGGATTGCGGGTAAGTGCTTGCAGGGGTTTATTTTTATAACTGTCTACCAGCGTAGAGATGTGGGAGGGGAATTAAAATAAATAAAAGATAAAAAACAAAAAACTATGTTCACTAACTCCTTTTCCCCTCTCCCATGTAGCTCTCTCGACCGAGTCTCCAAAGACTTCGGCCCAGTCCGTGTCGACGTCCTCGGAAAAATCGCAGAATCCATCCTGGGTGGCCTAGTATACCTCTACGAAGTCCACCGCATCATGCATAGAGACATCAAGCCCTCCAACGTCCTGCTGAACTCACGAGGAAATATAAAACTTTGCGACTTTGGCGTAGCTACGGAGACCGTCAACTCGATAGCAGACACCTTCGTGGGCACATCGACATACATGGCCCCCGAACGTATCCAGGGAGGTGCCTATTCCGTGCGTTCAGATGTGTGGAGTGTCGGTTTGACCATCATGGAATTGGCCGTGGGACGCTTTCCCTTTGACTCAACAGATTCTGCAGCGGGTGACCGTGCAAGCGCAGGCCCAATGGGAATTTTGGACCTGCTGCAGCAGATCGTGCATGAACCGGCACCAAAGCTGCCCAAGAGCGATGCTTTCCCACCTATCCTTGATGACTTTGTGGCCAAGTGCCTGCTCAAGAAGCCTGAAGAGCGCCCAACTCCCCGCGAGCTCTACGTAAGCACAGCCAGCCAGCTACACACGAAATGAACCCCCCTTCCTGCTACGTCTTTATATGTCATACATACTAACATCGCCCCACGCGAAACAGGACAAGGACGCCTTCCTCCAAGCCGCCAAACGAACCCCCGTCAACCTGCGCGAATGGGCAATCAGCATGATGGAACAGCACAACCGCAAATCCTACCTTGCCCCTCCAGCCCCCAAATCCATAAACCGCGACGGCTCACGAGACTCCATGTCCCACCCGCGAACCGCAGAACCCTCCCCCGCCCCCCGCTTCACACCCACCTCAGGCGAAATACCGCTAAACATCACCCGCGAACCCCTGAACAGCAGCGGCGGACTACGAATGTACTCGGATCCCATGTCCGCCATGGAGCCCTCGCCAACCGTGGGCTTCGAACACCTCTCGCTAGACGGCACGAGCCAGTACCACCCGGACCACCACGATCTGCATAAAGCGCTCAACAATCACAACAATCCTCATCACCCCAACGGGAACGGCTCTGCCAACCCCGCCTCGGCACGCCAAAAGTACACCAAGAGCTACCCAAGCATCGACACGTCTGTGCCGCAGCATACATCGCCCATGTCTGCGTCTGCAGTGATGACGCGGGCTGCTATACAGTCAGCGACGTTACCGTCGAGAGTGGCCCCGCCGCCCTCTGGTCCGCTGCCTGCGCCTCCGGGCTCTGCGGGCGCGGCAGGGTGGCGGTCGCACAGTCATCGGGTATGAGATGTGGGTATCTGGCGGTGTGGGATTGGAATTGGATTGGGAGAGAGGGGGAAAGAGGGGGTGTGGGGTGTGGTGTGTGGGGTGTGGGGTGTGGGGTGTGGATTTGGATATGAGTGTGTGTACTCTGGCCATGGGTGTTTTTGGCGTATTGGCATGGATGATCGCTATTCTGGATGTTTTTTCCCCTTTTCTTTCTCTTTCTTTTTCTTTCCCTCTTTTCTCTGATGATTGATGTGGTATGAGTGGGGAGTGAGTGTTTTCTTGCTGTACTGACATTATTTGTGCTTGTGACTGTCATTGTAAGGAGGGAGGAGAACTTCTGCAGATATTATTGCACATGCAATGCTGCTTTACAGAGAGAATGTGAAAGAACAAAAGGGCAAAATGCAATGCAGCTGAGGAATGTGTGAGATGCAGATGAACATGCCATAGGCTTCTTCAGACAATGTTTATAAAGGAGGTGAACGGAGAGGCAGAAGATCCATAGATGTTGCAGCAGACAGCAGACAGCAGACATCAGTCAGACCTTGAACAATATCCAGGCATATTTATCTCATGTCTCTTTTCCCTTTCAAGATCAAAAATAACACCAATACATTCATTTGTTAGATATCCCCATGAATCAGCGGAACCATCCCCCTACCAAAGGACCTGCCGCTGCTGCTGCTGCTGCTGCTGCTACATTCCTCCCAATCCTCCGACACACCGACATACCACACCTATCCGCACCCGCCGCCTTTCTCCCTCTCTCGGTCGACCCGGACTCAGCCCACGCCCGTCCAACACCTCCCCATCCAGTTCCTCAGTTGCATGCCCTTCCAGGCACCCTGAGGAATCCCCTTATCAGATGCCCATCCCAATCTCAATCCCAAACATGCACACCCCCCCAACAACAACACACAAAATTCCATCCTTTGCTTTGTGTCTTCAAGCACGCCTATGCGATCGATACGCGAAAGAGGAGGACGGGGGGGGGAAAATTGGCACTGGCTTATTTATGACTGACCTCCTGCACACAGAGTTAACATACATTATACATTCACAGCACGGCAACGTTTTTGTGCGCTGCTTCGTCCGTTCTTCTACACCACTGCGCCCCCCCCCCCCCCCCCCCCCCCCCTTCTCTGCCCTGTGGGAAATGCCAAAAGAAAAAAATAAAAATAATTATTCCCGGGGCCCCCCGGCGAGGGTTGTGGTTCTTTGTAACCCCATGTATGTGTATTAGCCTGCATTCCATCCGGCTCTCTGTTTCGAATTTCTCTCTCCCCGTCTTGACAAGTCCGGGCAAAGTCCGAAGCGTGCATGCACATTTCCGTGCATTTAAAAATGAAAGCCCGCCATCCGCTCACGCGTGATAACTATACAGTTTTATGTAAGGTTATTAGCAATGGACACTGGACTGTGAACTGTGAACTGTGAACTGTGAACTGTGGGAACATGAAAGATATATATATGAACAATGCCCTCCGTGGATCGAGGCAAAAAAAAAGCGATATTCCAACTGAATAACCCACTCAAGCCAGCCCCCATGGGAACCTCCCGCTTCTCATTTCATCTAGAATGCGTCCCATGGCGGATGCAGTGTGTATGTGGTAGGTGTATATCTAATATATGTATTTGATATATATATTCGGCAAAGAGGAAGAGGAAATGCCACGGGTAGTTTAGAAAAGGAGTCTTGATGAATCGGGGATCACTGTGCCCGGGTGAAAAACAACCCGAATATATATAAGTGGTTTAAATCGCCATCCTGCATTTATGCAAGGGAAAAAGGGAGGAGATATGCAGATCTAACAAAAGCGTAAATATGGTTGTGAAATGCTGGCAATTGACGTATTGGAAATGAGGCGGAGGGGGGGGGGGGGAAGGAGAGATATGCATGAATGTGGAGGTTACTGTGAATAACTAGGGACGGACCCGAACAGAGAAAAAAGTAAACAAAATCCATCTCAACCGAGAACCGAAAAAGGCGAGCAAACCGAACAAGGTAAGCGGACAAGTCAGGGTAAGGAGAAAGGCCAAGCAAAACCATAAGACACAGAAATCTACACACACCAGCAAATATAAGAAAAGCAAAAGGAAAAGAAAAGACAACGAGGGGGCCACCACTCAACAAGAAAACATCTCCATCATCTCCCCGCCAATCCTCCCTCCCTTCTTCCCCTCACCACCACCACCAACACCACCACCACTGCCCCGCGCCCCCGCCCACTTCCCCCTGCCTCCCCCAACCGGCCTCATCATAACAGGCAAACAATCCAACACGCCCCTATCGCCCTCGAAGTAATGCGACACAAAGCCCCCCCTCAACAGCCTCCTGAGCGCCGCAAGCCTCAGCCACTTCCACCACCTATCAAGCCTCATGACGCTATCGCGATGGATCTTCACCGTCTTCCGGCTCCCGTACTGCCGACAGGTCTCGTTGTCGATAGCCTTGCTATACTGCGGCCCACGCCGGGGATTGGAGATGGTGTTCAGGATGGAGGTGAAGTTGGCGTGCAGCGAGCGTTTGGATTTCTTGTTGATATGGCGGCCGGATATGTGGGCTAGCGCGTTGACCTGGGTGAGGATGCGGGGCGTGTTGTGGTACGGGTTGTAGCGTTTGATCAGGCGTTTTTCTTGATTATTCCCATTGCCGCCGCCTCTATCGTCGTCGTCGTTGAAGCCGTCGGATCCATCAGCATCCGAGGAACCGTTCCCATCTCCGCTTCCTGCTTCCTCAATAACCTCCCCTTCAGCAAGAGGCGAATAACTCTTCTCGTACAACAACGCGATATTCTCCCCCGCGGCAATCTGCACGGAGCTCTCACTGCTCTCTAACTGCTCTGCAAAGACCTCGATGGCCTCCTCGCTTTCATTCTCCAAATCCTTCACCTCCGTGGCGAGGAAGCCCCACTCCTCCAAGGCAGCCGTAACGACTGTCGCATCATCGCCCGCATTCACATGGTGGCCATCGGACGAGACGATCTCCAGCAGGAAGGTCATCTGCTCGAGGATGCCATCCTCGCCCGCCCCGCCAAAGTATGTCGAGGCGCCTAGACAGTGTATCGCGGCCGCCTTGGTGGCTGAGGACGAGGCGTCTGTGATCGTCCGTTTCAGGACGGGAGCTATGCGGGCATATATGCTCTCATCGAGCAGGGTGAGTGCGGAGAGGCTGACGGCTTTCAGGGCAAGCATGGTCTCCTTCTCCGAGGATCCAGATCTGATGCTTTTGATGAGCGAGGAGAGGAGGTCGGGGAAGTTGGGGATGCCGTCGTCGATGTAGTGGGAGGTGAGGATGCGGACGTACGCGGTCAGGTTCTCTTCGCGGCTGAGGACGCTGCTGCGTTTGCGGTCTGTAAAGTCTCTTATGACTTCGGAGAGGTCTTGGAGGGTTTCTGCCGGGGCTGATTCTTCGTCGTTGGCGGCGGAGAAGCCGTCGTCGATGGAGGGGGTACTGGATACAGTCAAGAAAAAGATGCCAATGTTAGTGGTGGTGGATGACAACTCGACGCGGATACAATGAGCAGCGCAGCAGGAGACATTGTAGCAGAAGAAGAAGAAGAAGAAGAAGAAGAAGAAGAAGGAATAGTAAATGACACAACATGCCTCCAGGTAGTACTTTCGCTCTCCCCATCTTCGTCGTCATCGGATGGGTGCCTGCTCGCATTTCGCGAGGCGGGGCGGGAGTTGTGGGCCGAGTTGGGAGCGGAAGCACGCGGGAGTTTGTCCTGGACGCTTCGCGGCTCTGTGCTTTGCGGGACACGGTCTTCTTGCTCTCCAGAGCCTGGCGACGGAGGTCCCGCATTTCGATTTACCGTTGGAGAAGAAAGAAGAAATGCGGGTGGGATGTGGGAGATAGAATGGGTATGACGCCTCTGCTTCGTTTTTTGTGATGGGTAGAAACGGGCAAGAGAAAAGAGAAACCAGGCCTGTGTGATACCGGTCGAGGAGGGTGAGCGTGTGAGAGGATGCCGGGTGAGTGTGTGTGTGAGAGAGAGAGTTTGTGTGTGGCTGAGCAGGCTGTTTGCGCTGGGAGTGTGTTGCGCGAGAGAACAGAGCGGTGGTGGCGTGGCGTGTGCAGGAGGATACAGGAGAAACTACAACAGACCGGATATGGCAGCAGCAGTTTATCCCCAGGGCCGAGTCGATCTGTAGAGAAGACACCGGCAGAGAGAGAGCAGCGCTGGAGAGAGGGAGGAGTCCATAAGGCTCAACATGGGGAACGCGGGGAGGGATAGACAGAGACGAAGTAAGTGGGAGTGGGAGTGGGTGAGTGTGGGGCGGGATCTGGGCAGGGAAGAGAAGAGGGATGCTGCTCTGCTGCACGGTTGGTGCTGTTTGTGCGGTGGTGCGGTGGTGCGGTGGTGCGGTGTGCGAGGTTGTGTGATGCTGGAGTCGTTGGTATGTGTGTGTGTGTGTGTGTGTGTGTGTGTGTTGTGTGTGTTGGCAGCTGGCTGTGACAAAGCGGTGGGCTTATTATCCCTGCAGTATGTGGGATCCCGTGGGGCTTGGCACCGGCAGCAGCCAACCCGAGTCGCCGCCCTGGCACGTGATGGGGGTTCTCGCCTATTTGCCCGCGTTGGGTTAGTTAGCGAGCTGGAGTTGACGTCATAACGCCGTCAATCACACATCGCGGTGGCTGGGGGTGGCTGTGGCTCTGATTGGAGGCAAGCATTTTTTCTTTTTTGTACAAGAGAGCCAGTAAATTTACAGTTAACTAGTTAGTTAGTTAACCTACTTGATATTACTAATAACTGAGCCACATCTTCCATGAATTGCATAACCGGGGAATTCCCCGTGTTGCTTGGTATGCCCAGAGGAAAGAAAGCAATCTTCCCTCATTCTCCTGCGAACAATGCGAGAACGGCTGGCTGCTTAGTGGTGGAAGCGGTCAATGTCAATTTGCCGGGCTTCCTCAGTTGATGTCTCTCTTTCTTTCCCTCTTTCCCTCTTTCCCTCTCTCCCTCTCTCCAACGCGGGCACCGGCGATTCCGTCGGATCAAGCTTTCGAGTGGTGCTTAGTAATGCGCGTGGCGGTGCCCGAGGGAGAGCATTTCATTGGCCGGAGACAGGTTGACTAAGCATATTTTCTGCTCCCACACGCTAACTGTATGCGGCAAGGGCGTCAGAGACCAACCTCGGCATTTGGGGCTCTCGATAGGAACGAACTTCCAACAAACGACGAAAAAACCCTGTAAAGTTCTGACATCACCATATTTCGACAGGTTTCCGGGTTATTCCACTTCAGCGCTATAACAGCTGCAACGGTCTGGCTAGAGACACAGCATCTTGCCTGGTCGGATATATCATTCGTCGCATCCGGTTTCATCATGCTCAAGATCAGGTGCATGATGGGTGTGTTTATGATCCACACAGTTCCGGCGACGGAGGCCGGGTCCTTGGGATGTTCCAGCTGATAATGTGAAACCAGCTGCCCTCAACACCCATCCCTATGCATTCAATTGGCAGGACCAGATTCGGGCTGCTTAGACCTAGAGGCTGGAGAGGCTGCCCCAGTCTTTGCAATACCCAAGAGCGCCTTGGAACACTTTTTTCCCCGGGGCGATTTATACCTCTCCGGCCCTTCAAGTAGTTGGCAAACACCACATCTCTTGCGTCTCACAGTTCCAGGTTGTAATCCTAGTATATTGAACTACCTCGTTCTTTTTCTATTATACCCATATATATACATATATATATATATATACAGATATATATATATATATATATATCTGTATATTTCTCTTTCAATCTTTATAAGGCTGTGTCTGATATCAACTCTCTCCCCGAGAACAAATGGCGGGCGATTCGCCGCATTCTTCAGGTCACGAAGATCCAGAATACCTTCCGGATGAGAAGGATCATGATTACAATGACGATGAAGATGAATCACGCCATGGTGATTCTTCTTCGAACGAGGACACCAGGTTTAATCTCATTCGATCATTAACCAGAGACCCGAATACAGAGCTCTCGAGAATAGCCTCCGTCTTCTCCCATGCCGACGAGCATTCCACTGCTACTGACTCCCTAGCACGGATAGACACCCTTGCTGGCCTCCAACTCGGAGATGCCGTGCTGAATCCATCCAGCCCGCAGTTCGACTTCTACAAATGGGCCCGCATGCTGATGAAGCTGATGGAGGAGGATGGCCTCAAGAGACGACGGACCGGCATCACCTTCAGGAACCTGAGTGTCTATGGTTCCGGGCCCGCGCTGCAGTTGCAAAGCACCGTCTCCACACCGATCATGGCGCTCTTCCGGTTCCAAGAGACTTTTGGGGTGGGGCGGAGGACACAGAAGCGCATCTTAAATAACTTCAATGGAGCGCTGAGGGAGGGGGAGATGCTTGTCGTGCTTGGGAGGCCCGGGAGCGGATGCAGTACCTTTCTCAAGACCATCTGCGGAGAAACACATGGGCTTGAGCTGGAGAGGGAGGCCTCGGTTCAATACAACGGTATTCCCCAGACGACGTTCAAGAAGGAATTTCGCGGCGAAGCTGTGTACAGTGCCGAGGATGAGAAGCATTTCCCCCATCTTACCGTTGGTCAGACATTGGAGTTTGCTGCCGCTTGTCGGACTCCCTCGGCAAGAGTGATGGGCATGGCGAGGAAGGAGTTCTCTCACCATATTGCAAGGGTGGTCATGGCCATTTTCGGCTTGAGCCATACCGCCAACACCAAAGTCGGTGACGACTACGTCCGAGGCGTCAGTGGCGGCGAACGCAAACGTGTCAGCATTGCGGAGCTCGGGCTCTCTGGCGCCCCGGTAATCTGCTGGGACAATTCAACCCGGGGGCTCGACTCAGCGACAGCTCTTGAGTTTACCAGGGCCCTGCGAGTCGCCTCCGATGTCATGGGAGCCACACAGGCCGTGGCCATCTACCAGGCCAGCCAGGCAATCTACGACCTGTTTGACAAAGCTGTTGTTCTCTACGACGGGCGCCAGATCTACTACGGCCCTGCTAACTCCGCCAAGAAGTATTTCGAAGACATGGGCTGGTATTGCCCGCCCCGCCAGACAACTGGCGATTTCCTCACCTCCATTACCAACCCGATGGAGCGGAGAGTCAGGGAAGGGTTTGAATCCAAAGTTCCCCGAACCGCTCATGAGTTTGAGACGTATTGGCGCAACTCGCTGCAATTCAAGGACGTGCTGGCTGAAATTGAACAGTGCGAGCACGAACATCCCGTTGGCGGGCCGGCGCTGGGAGAATTGCGCGAGGCCCACAACCAGGCGCAGGCAAAGCACGTTCGCCCGAAATCACCGTACACCATAACCATACCTATGCAGGTGAAGCTGTGTACCACCCGTGCCTACCAGCGCCTGTGGAATGATAAAGCATCGACGATTTCCAGGGTGATGGCGCAGCTGATCATGTCTTTGATTATCGGCTCGCTCTACTTTAACACGCCCCAAGTTACCAGCAGTTTTTTCTCGAAGGGTTCGGTTTTGTTCTTTGCTATTCTGCTCAATGCATTGCTTTCTATTTCGGAAATTAATACGTAAGTTTGTGCATGCTGGCTCAAAAAAAAAAAAAAAAAAAAAAAAAAAAAAAAGGGCTACTGACAGAATCTTTGCAGGCTTTGTAAGGTCTTTCCCAACCTGGTCTTTCATCTTGCAGTCACTAACACAGCAAAGACTCCCAACGCCCGATCGTCTCCAAACACGTATCGTACGCCTTATACTATTCCTGTGTCGAAGCTTTTGCAGGGATCGTCTCCGATATCCCCATAAAGTTGATAACCAGCACCGTCTTCAACATAATCATCTACTTCCTCGGAGACTTGCGACGGCAGGCGGATCATTTCTTCATTTTCTTCCTTTTCACTTTCATCACCATGTTAACTATGTCTGCAATATTCCGGACGCTTGCCGCTGCGACGAAGACAATTTCCCAGGCTCTCGCATTCGCGGGAGTCATGGTTTTGGCTATTGTCATATATACGGGTTTTCACAATTCAGCGGTCATATATGTAGGTGTCTCTCTCCGCTTAATGGTTCTGGTATCTTGCTCGTTTTCTTGAATGGTGATATTATACTAAAATCCCCTGTGACAGGCACCCATGGATGGAATGGATAAGCTGGATTAATCCTGTGGCATATGCATTCGAAGCTATCCTGGTAAACGAAGTACATAGCCAACGCTACGCATGTGCACAGATTGTTCCGCCATATGGAGAAGGAATGAACTTCCAGTGCCCAATCGCCGGGGCGGTGCCAGGCGAGAGATCGGTGTCCGGCGACGCTTGGGTAGAATCGCAATATGGCTACAAGTACTCCCATATCTGGCGGAATCTCGGCTTCATCTTCGCATTCCAGGTCTTTTTCTACGTGCTGTATCTTACCGCGACGCAGCTGAACACCGCCTCAGCCTCGACCGCAGAATTTCTTGTTTTCCGTCGCGGTAATGTTCCGAAATATATGCTGAAACAAAACGATGAAGAGAATGACAAAGCAGCTCCTCCTGCTGCAGCTGCAGCTGCTGGGGCTAATTCCAAGAACGAAGAAGATAAAACCAACGTCCTTCCCCCCCAGACTGACGTTTTCACATGGAGGAATGTAACTTATGACATCACGATTAAGGGAGAGGATAGAAGGATCCTTGACCACGTTTCTGGTTGGGTTCGACCCGGTACACTTACAGCACTGATGGGCGTCTCTGGAGCTGGCAAAACTACCCTGCTCGACGTGCTTGCGCAACGCATTTCTTTCGGAGTTGTCACGGGGGATATGTTTGTCAATGGAAAGCCCCTGGACCTATCCTTCCAGCGCAAAACTGGCTACTGTCAACAGCAAGATCTACATCTCGAAACAAGCACGGTCCGCGAGGCACTGCGCTTTTCAGCAATGTTAAGACAGCCACAGAGCGTTTCCAAGCAGGAAAAATACGAGTTTGTTGAAGACGTGATTAAGATGTTGAACATGGAGGATTTTGCGGAAGCGGTTGTTGGTAGCCCTGGTGAAGGACTCAATGTTGAGCAGCGGAAACTCCTCACTATCGGGGTTGAACTGGCTGCAAAACCGCAACTACTGCTCTTCCTTGACGAACCGACTTCTGGCCTTGACTCACAAAGTGCTTGGGCGATTGTTACTTTTCTCCGGAAGCTTGCTGACCATGGCCAAGCTGTGCTCTCCACGATCCACCAGCCGTCCGCGGTGTTGTTTCAAGAGTTCGATAGACTGCTGTTGCTGGCAAAAGGTGGAAAGACGGTCTATTTTGGCGAAATCGGGAAGAACTCTGAGACCATGCTCAATTACTTCGCGGCCCATGGTGCTGAGCGCTGCCGTCCCGACGAGAATCCAGCAGAATACATGCTGAACGTTGTGGGGGCAGGTCCTAGTGGTAAATCGACGCAGGATTGGGCGGCGGTGTGGAATAACAGTCAAGAAGCGAAGCAGGTCCAGGACGAATTGGATCGTATACATGCGGAGAAGGCAGAGAAACACGATCCTACGGCTGATCAACAGGCCGTGACACAGGAGTTTGCGATGCCCATGACTTCGCAGATCTACTACGTTACGTTTCGAGTTTTCCAACAATACTGGCGAACGCCGACATACATCTGGGGAAAGTTCTTGTTGGGCTTCATGTCTGCCGTCTTCATGTAAGTGGATCTATCTCCCTTTACGAGAGGTTTTTATGGAGTAGCGAGCGGCTCTGTGTATTAATATTTGCCACAGAGGATTCTCATTCTATAAACAAAACTCTTCGTCCTCGGGGCTTCAAAATACGCTCTTCGCGATATTCATGTTGACAACAATCTTCACGAGTTTGGTCCAGCAGGTATGCAGTAATCAATTTAGCAATCGCCCTGCTGACAAAAAAAAAAAAAAAAAAACTAACATCGTTGCCCAGATTATGCCCCGATTCGTCACCCAACGCTCCCTCTTCGAAGTCCGCGAACGTCCATCACGAACCTACGGCTGGAAAGCCTTCCTCCTCGCAAACATCATAGTCGAAATCCCCTACCAAATCCTCCTAGGCATTGTAGTCTGGGCATCCCTATACTTCCCGGTCTTCGGCAAGAACCAAACTTCAGAGCAGCAGGGCACATTCCTCATCTACTCCGTCCAATTCATGATATTCGCCTCCACCTTCGCCCACATGGTAATCGCCGGCCTTCCCGATGCAGAAACCGCCGGGCACATCGCCACAACCCTCTTCAGCTTGTCCCTCACTTTCAACGGCGTCATGCAGCCTCCCCGCGCTCTCCCCGGCTTCTGGATCTTCATGTGGCGCGTCTCGCCGTTGACCTACACCGTGGGTGGCCTGGCCGCCACGGGCCTCCATAACCGCATCGTCAACTGCGCCGAGAACGAGTTCGCCATCTTCAATCCGCCCAGCGGCGCCACGTGCGGACAGTATCTGGCGGAGTTCTTCGCTGCGGGTGCCCAGGGCCAACTGGAAGACCCGAACGCAACACAGGGATGCAGGTATTGCTCTTTGAGAAATGCAGACCAGTTCCTTGCCCGCTCGGAGGTATTCTGGTCACAGCGCTGGCGCAATTTCGGGCTCGGTTGGGCGTATATTGGGTTTAACGTGTTTGCGGCTGTCGCGCTGTACTACATGCTCCGGGTGCGAACTTCGACGGGCAAGACTCGGAAACGGGCTAGTTTGGTGAAGCATTATGTGCGGTGGGTTGGGGGTTGGGTGCGGGCGTTGTTTACGACGAGGATTGAGAAGACGCCCGAGGAAAAGATTCATGTGAATGATAGGATTCTTTGAGGGGGAAGGGAGGGAAGTGCTGGGGAGGGCCAACAGAGGTGGGGGTTGAGGACTGTGGAATGTATCATTCATTCAAATAAAAGTATTATTATAAGTATTGTTTCAAGGGTTTGGTTTGGGGTTTTCTTGTATTTTTATTTTTATTTTTATTTTTATTTTTATTTTTAAACATGTCATCTAGCCATGTATTATTCCCATTTCCTTTGAATCACCTCGTCTACTTTTGTTCTGAGCAGCCACGGCTGCTAATAACTTAGACTTTGGCTTGATGTCGATTTCCCGAGGACTCGCAGTGTAGATTAGCGACCCGATTGCCGAAGTCCCGGCTTCGATAAAACAACCGAGAATCACAGATTTCAGTTCATTCTCTCTGTTCAGCAAAGGTTGGGCGACTTTCCAGGCGCAGAGAATAACGATATTGATCTTTAGGGTCTGGTTTTGCGCGTATTTATTTCTCACTTCCCAAGGGAGGTTTTTTGCCTGTAGTTAAACGCCGAGGAAATGTTGTTCAAGTCAAAACATCCGGATGTCGAGGGTAAGTTTACGATGCGCTCGCTTCCTTTAACCAGTCACCACCCGTCCGTCCCCCTTCATCCTAGATGAATATCCAGTTCAACTATTTGCGTCTGCTGCTAACTAGCAGATCCAACGCGTAGTTCCTGAAGACATCACCGTCTGGCATTGGCTCTTCGAATCCCCAGAATTTTCCGTTCTTCACAAACTAAAGCCGAGCGAGTTGGCCGGGTACACCAATGCTGCGACCAAAGAGCGGGTCAACTGGGCCCAAGTAAAGGAACTTGCAACGTATGTGAGCACCGCATTGGTGAAGAAATACGGCATGAAAGAGGAGGATACGATATCGCTTTTCAGCCAGAATACAATCTGGTATCCTGTGGCTATGTTTGCCGGGATCAGGGCCGGTACGTCTTCCAGAGGTCCGTTTCCATAGTTATTCGCATATGGGACTGACGATATTGGGTGTGCCATTGTACCATACAGGCGGCAAGGTGGCGGGAGCGTCTCCGGCATACAACGTTGAGGAGATGTCATACGCGCTCCAAAAGGCCGAGACGAAATTCCTCATGACAGGCCCAAATTCATTAGAGGTTGCCGTAGCTGCTGCTAAGAATGCTGGCATTCCGCAGGAGCATGTTTTCCTGCTCGAAGGGGAGGCCGACGGCTTCACCACATTTAAGGATCTTCAGAGGATCGGGAAGAGCCATGGCGAGCAAGGCCAGATTCCACCGCATTCGGTTCCCGAGAGGGAAGACGAACAAGGATCTTTGCGGGTTTTTGAACTTTTCCAGCGGGAACAACTGGATTGCCGAAAGCTGTGAGTTATATATATATATGGTTGAGCTGCCTCTGCTAACTCTTCGTCATAGGTTATGCTCTCGCACCACAATGTAATAGCCCAATGCTTGCAAATGAAGACCATCACCCCCCCTGGATCAAAAACCTTTCTTGGAGCCCTGCCGCTGTTCCATAGTAAGCCAGCCCTCTTGCAGATACATGCATAGTAGATTTGGCGCTGGTCGCCCTGTTGATTTGATACTAACATCCCCAATTCCGCAATCCGCACTTGACAGTCACGGGCCTGATCCGATTCTGCAACAACCCAGTGCATCAAAACGACGAAGTAATTCTCCTCCCGCAGTTTACAATGGAACTCACCCTCAAATCCGTCGTCGAATACCAAATCACCGAACTCATCCTCGTCCCACCAATCGTCATCCGCTTCACCCAAGACAAAATCGTAGACCAGTATGACCTATCCAGCGTAAAGCGCATATCCTGTGGCGCGGCACCGCTTAGCAGAGAAGTTATTCGATTGCTTGCTAAGCGATTTCCCGATGCAGGATTTAAACAGGGGTACGGCATGACGGAGTCATGCGGCTGTCTCTCGTCGCACTCTGAAAGGTTCTCTAGCTATGACTATGCGGCGACGGTAGGCGACTTGATCCCGTCTACCGAAATCAAAATTGTCAACGACCAAGGGAACGAACTGGGATACAATAAACCGGGTGAAATTCTCGCCAAGGGCCCGCAAATCGCAATGGGATATCTGAGAAATGAGGGCGCGACAGCTGAGTCCTTTGACCCGGATGGCTTTTTACACACAGGAGATATTGGCAGCATGAATGAGGAGGGGCTTCTCTCGATAGTTGATCGGATCAAGGAAATGATCAAAGTGAAAGGAATCGCCGTTGCGCCGGCGGAACTGGAGGATCTGCTCCTGGGCCACCCGAATGTATCTGACGTTGCTGTTGTCGGCAAACAAGACGACTATGCAGGTGAACGGCCAAAGGCACACGTTGTCCTGAAACAGGGCGTGGAGAAATCCGAGGCAGTTGGTCGGGAGCTGATACAGTATGTCAAGGAGAGGAAGGTTAGGTTTAAATGGGTGAAAGAGATCGAGTTTACGGATTCCGTGCCGAAGAGCGCCAGTGGGAAGATTTTGCGACGAGTGCTAAAGGAAAGGGAGAGGAGTGGGTTGAGAGGGTTTGTAGTCCGCGAGAACAAAAAGGCGAGGGCGAGATTGTGAGCTGTAGATCCGGCGAGGGATGTTGGCCTTTCCGGGTATCTGTTGATTGGTATTTATATCTAGAATTGGTATTTATATCTAGAATGCTCCGCTGCTTGATGCATATTTGAAGCGCGTCTTGATGTTTGTGATACCCGGAGTGATATGATACCATTGTGATGAGCTTGTCAACTGGTTAACTATACTCTTCAGGGGGACGGATTAGGGCAAGATGTAGAAAAAGAAAGGGATCAATTCTCTTACAAATTATAACGGCGCCGCCTCTCCTGTTTTTGGTACATACTTTCACGAACCACATCCCCTAACAGCATTAAACATGGGAAGTTAAAGCTTTGCTGCCTCAGGGGCATCCGCGCCATACGACACATACGTATATATATATATATATACCCTTACGATACAGCGCTGACTGGGAGCGCGAGAGCAATTTGGACGTAAAAGTTGCAGATGTGACAGCACTTAATCTGTCTACTGTTAGAGTGAGGTACTGACGCTGATTTGAAACCGCGGATGGAATATAAAATAATGATAATGATATGATAATATGATAATATGATAATATGATAATATGATAATATGATAATATGATAATATGATAATATGATAATAGTGGATCTCGGGCGCTTATTTAAGCTTAATTTGCCAGGTGGGTCCACGTTGTTGCTCTAAATAAATAAAGTTGACTTGCTGTTGATAACCAACCGATTCACCAAAAACCCAACCCAGCGGAGCGGACTCGATGCGGAATATTGCAAATTAACGAGATTTAGCTTGAGCTATGCGCTCTCGCTCCCAGCAGCAAACAGTTTTCGAATTATGAACCCCAGGCTCGGAGCAGCTTGTTCTCTCCTGCTCAAGCACGTTGCAACTGCTGCAGTCGTACAGGCTGAGCAGTGAGCAGTGAGATGATAGCGGGCTCTGTTAAATCCTGTATACGTTGAATTCAACGGTGGGCAGAGCCGGGCGGGGATAGCGGATCCTGGAATACCCTGATATGTGTTTTTCTATATGTTTGGATCCATAGTCGTTGATTGAATTTAAACTAGTTCTCATCAAGTAGAAACTATCAAAAATAACATACTGTGAAGTAAAACGATGATCACTTTACATTCTTCAAACACACTGATCAAAGAGCTGACCATCATTTGGTTGGATTCGAAATTCTCTGAAAGTAGCAAAATCTCTTCAGCATCAGCTATCAATAAATGTCACACGGACAGTTCAACTCTTCAATTAGCTGTATGAAGTATGGAGAGCATTGAACATGCACACAGCTTCAGCAGCTGAGATTATTTCCTGCTTCTAATAGCAGATATATTGCGAGTTCGATTCTTTCCTCTTCTATAGATTGTGAACTGATCTTTTCCACACTTGCGAATTTTATGCGCCTGTGGATTAGCTACGTGACTGCGCAACCCCCCCCCCCCCCCCCCCCCCCCTTCTGTGAGATCGGACATGAACCCGCTCAGCCCCAGGAACGGCACTTGGAGGAAATGCACACAGCAGCGATAATAAGATGCGGATTCGTGCCTTCATTGGAAAACGACGATCTCACTCTTCACTCTTTATATCCGTGCGTTGCGGTAATACTCACCGGATGTTGAAAATACCCTGAAAAACCACGGCTGAACCCCCGCCACTCTCTAAATAAATGAAAAAAGAAAGAAAGAAAGAAAGAAAGAAAGAAATAATAAATCCCTCCCCTTTCGGAGTTCTCAGTCCCAAATCCTCTCCCCCCATGTCAGTAGTAATCAATCAATCAATCCAACCCCCTTGACTTCTCCCTCTCTCCCACGCTTCTCCCTACCGACCACAACCTCCCTCCCCGCCCTATCAGCCCCCAGCCACAAAACATCTGGCCGACTATAATGCCCCACCACATCCAAAAACCCCCTATTCGTCACAATCCTCTCCAGATCCAAATCGGCAAACACAATGCCCTCCACCGCGGCATCGCCGTTCCCAAGCGCCGTGGTCAGCCTCCTCCCATCCGGGCCAATAGCCGCACTGTGCCCACCGCCCGGCTCCTGGAAGAGCAGGCCGCCTTTGGTCCTCAACGTCTCCACCCCCTGCTCCCCACACACAGCCGTGCAATGCAGCACAAAGGAGCCCCCCTCGACCGCACACGTCTGGCTGAGGCCCATGACTCCCTCGGCGCTCATGCTCCACAGGCCCTCGCCATCGACGCCCGCATGCGGATCCACGGGAGGCCACATGGAGACATGCACGGCCGCGCCCAGAGAAAACGCATGGTACTTCAGAAGCGGCTGCGCGTGCTCCCAGCACGACAACATGCCGACCTTCACGGCGCCGATCGGCTGTCCGAAATCGACAGCCGCGACGTTGGACAGGTTGTCCAGGCCGATGGTGGCGTCGTTGTTCCCGTCGCCGAAGACGGTGCGCTCCATGTGTGTGGGTTTCAGCTTGCGGCGGTGCAGGAGCACTTCGCCCTCGGGGGAGATGAGGCATTGGGCGATGTAGAGGGAGTGGGAGGGAGTTGCTTCGGAGAAACCGAGAGCGACGGCGATGGAATGGCGTTTTGCGGCGGCTTGGACGGTGAGGAGTTGCAGGGATGGGGTGGGGTGGGAGGCGGAGGGAGTTTTGGATATAGCGGGTGTTCATGGCTGGGTCGACGGGGCGATTCCTACCTTGGTTTGATTCAGCGGCTGATGGTGCCCGTGAGCCGTGGGGGGGGGGGGGGGGGGGGGG